CTCTCTCTCTCTCTCTCTCTCTCTCTCTCTCTCTCTCTCTCTCTCTCTCTCTCTCTCTCTCTCTCTCTCTCTCTCTCTCTCTCTCTCCTGTGTGATTATCTGCTTGCTTGAAAGTTGAATCTCCTCTCTTCTCTGCAATTACAATCGTTATTATGTCGTGGAACGAGAAGGTGGTTCACGTATGCCTGAGTGTGTTTTTGCTGCCGTCTGTCTATCGAAACGGAAGTAATTGTTCTGTGCAGATCCATCTTCCAGGGCTTTTGTATGTTCAAATTCCGAGTGGAAAAAAAAAAAAAAAAGAAGTTATCGTTTCAAGCTGGCGCTGTTTCAGGGGTTATCCCTACTTTTATGAATATGCCGGAAGAATATGATGCTTGGTTTCGTTCCGGCTCCGGCTTCTTCCTCTCTATTTTTTTGGCACTGGTGGCTAAAGTTTGGTAGATGGGGCCCACCATCCGGTAATTTTGGCATTGGCTTTTGCTTGCTTTGGGCCATGTTCGGCAAAGTTACCAAATGTGCAAAATGAGAATGAATCTTCCACTGGAACATGGGAAGATACAACTCCATATTTTAGTCTTTTGTGCATGTCGCGAGTAAAAGAGCGAGGCCCTTAAAGTTACTTGTTGTTCGAGAAATTTGAAGGAAAAGAAATAATGTCAACATATTTTTATCTTTTAACTGGCTTTATGCCATGTCAGGCTACCACTACTCGTTATTAGGGTATACAGGGGACCCCTGCAAGCATTGCTTTCTACCTCTCTTCGGTGAAGGGAGGTTACCTCTCTCGGTCGTTGGAGAGGGGTAAGGGCATGTTTGCCCCTTTGCCCTCGCGTTTTAGGGTGCAGGGTTGGGGCCGCCGGTGGGGGCCCGGCTAACACAAGGACCGAGCATTTTGCTGGTAACTGTGCCTCCCTTTTCATCTTCCCCCACCCCCATCGAGTAACAGTAGTGTCTAAAGCCAACACTCTCCCACACACCACACACAACCCGCTCACACACTCGCTCACACACCTGCTCACACCCATGTTGGCCGACGACCTTGCTGATACCGACCGGAAGGATCCAGCTGACTATCTTAGTTGGTTGGCACCAAGAGTGCTACAGGCGGCCATGGGGATTGAACCCACGACCTCCTGAATGCCACTTGCGTGCCTAACCAATTGCTCTAGGCTGCTATGCCTCGAATGCTTTTTTTTTCCCTTTTTCTATAGGGGTATAAGTTTAATCCTTATCCCACTTGTAACCCTCTGATTTAATCAGGATTTGAACTCGTGACCTGTTGTAGCTGTCCGCTTTGTTGGTGCCCCCTCTCCTCCTCCCCCCCCCTCTCCCTTCCTCCCTCCTGTTTGAGAGCACATAGTTGGATTCCTCTGTGTCTACTCGCCCTGTACTCTGAAAATTTCTCTTCTGTTTAAATCAGAGCTGGCTGTAATTGCGATCAGATATGTCCTGGAAAGTGCGACTAGATGCTCTTTATTGTTTCACAAGGTCTGCCAGCTGTCCGTAAGCGTCAGAGGGGTCCACAACCCAGTGACGAAGAAGGTTAAATGCTGGAATAAGGCTCTTGCTCCACCACATAGCCTCCTTTTTTTTTACCTTTATTTATTAATATAGCTGGAAAACCGGGTCCAGCGTCCCTTACATATAATTACTCTCTCCACGCCTCCTTCCATTAACGCAGTTCGAAAACTTAAAAGAAAAAAAAAACGTTAAAGAGGAGTTAATTAAAAAATTTTATTTACTTTTTTTATATTAAACAAGTGGATCCGCCGCAGCTATGCTGCGGCAGTGAAAAGGAAAACAGAAGCAAACAATGCGTCTGAGAAAAGAATCCAAAAAGATGTTTGACTCAGAGTGACAGGTTGCACTCCAAAATGACAAAGCAAAATGTTTGTTGTTGAAGTAGAGTTTTGAGAAAAGAATCCAAAAGATGTTTGACATAGAGCAACTGATCGCACTCAAAAACGACTAAGCAAAATGTTTGCTGGCGAAGTTGAGTTGCCGTTGTCAAAGGAGCGGAGAACAGAAGTTGGTCGGACGTGCAACCTGGTCGTCGGTGTTGTCCTTGGAATGTCGAGCTGGCGGTGGCCCAGAGCTGGCGATGGAGGCCGTGTCATCGTTGTCGGGTGTCATCATTGTCTGGTGTGGAAGGTCTTTGTCCTTGGAAGGTCTTTGTTGTCCGGTGTTGTGCTTGGAAGTTCTTCGCAGCGTCACTGTTGAGGTGGTAGCACTTGTACCTGTAGGTAAGAGACAGCACGGCGAATGATGTTGGCTCCGTATGTAGAGAAAGGCGGGAGCGGCTGTTGCGCGGCCTGGTGGTGGAAGAGGAGGATGAAATCATTGAGGTATTCTCATCTTCGTGGAGCATGCGGTATCATGTACATGGCAAGTGTATGATAAGATGTGGAGAATTGCGGCGGCATGTGTCGGGCTCCAAGGTTGAAAAGGTGGCCACCATGCGGGGTCTGTATCGTGTATGAAGTGGGGTTGGAAGAATTCCTTGGATGCACATCCACACACACATACGCACTCGTTCTTCCCTATCCTTTCCTCACAACCGGTTCCCCATTCCTCGCCCTGCTGCCTCGGTGTTCTTTGCAATGCACTTTGTCGGTCCCACATCCTGATCGCCCCCCTCCCAATCCGCGCTGCCCACCCCCTTCTTCCCAAGTCGGGTGCCCGACCTACATCCTCCTCCTGTTTACTGTAACTCCCTTGTGGACATTTTCCCCCTCCGTTTGGTTGATTCTCTTCACTTCGGCATTTTTCAGAGCAGCGGGCAGAAATCACATTTTGTCAGCGCGTGCGCCAGTTCTCTCTCTCTCTCTCTCTCGCGCGCGCGCGCGCGCCCCCGAGCAAGGCATTTGCTCAAGAGTGCCTCGACACAGCACAGGAGCTCACAAAACTCGTCAATAATGGAGAGCTAGCACAGGATCTGATCTTTGGAGCAGCATAACACAGTGCACCACAGCACACAGCGCAGAGCACCACAGCAGAACATGCAACAGAGTATAGGATCTAATCGTCATGATCGGGACGGGGGGAGAGACAGGGATAGAGAGAGAGAGAGAGAGAGAGAGAGAGAGAGAGAGAGAGAGAGAGAGAGAGAGAGAATCAATCGGGAACCTGTGAAAATAGTGGAACGATGCACCTTGGTCTCCCATCGTCGCTCCTTCGTCCGTGTCTGCCTGACCTGCCGCACCAGCAAATGCACGTCCCTCTGTGTTCCTCTCCCGGCCTCCCACTCTTCTCTCTTCGGGCCTCCCGCTCTTTCCTCTCCCTGCTTGGTTCTTCTTTGTTCCCTGTCCTCATCCCTTTTGCCTTTCCTCTTCTGCGCACTTGCTGTTCATTCACCCCTCCCCTCACAACTCCGCTTTTTATTGCCGTACTCTGTTTGCTTCCCCTTCCCTTCCTCAGTTGCTCGTCCTCCCAAAGCGGTTCATGGCCAAAAGCCATTTGCAGCAACAGGTGCTGCCTTCGTTCCCTCTGGTCGATTCGCCCACCCCCTCGATTCGAAAATGCCACCGCACTGCCTTGCGACATTTGCCCTGCGTCCGCTCGATTCGAACAAGCCTCCCCGCCCGCAGCGTTTGCCACTGCCGACCCTCCCCAAATGCCACCACCGTGCAGCCTTGCGACATTTGCCCTGCGTCCAAGCGGTGCCTGCGCGCGCTTGGTTGATTCCCTTCACTTCGACAACCGGACCATTGGCAAGCACCGCTTCCGCGGGTTCCACATCGGCCCTGCCTCCGAGCGCGTCCCTGCCGCGCCGCCCAATTTTCCCTTCACTTCGACAACCGGATCGTCGGCCCACCCACGTCCTCCCGTTCCACGTTAGCCCTGCCTCCAAGTGGTGCTGCGCTGTGCCGCCCGATTTTCCCTGGGTCCCACAGCAGGACTGCTACAGTCTTTAAAGGTATAGAGGAAAAAAAGGTGGGGTACTCCCCGAACGGGATTTGGCATTTCGATGAGAAAC